AAACGTGTTACACTCGTTTGGCTTTCGCTTCGGCCACTACCACGTGGCACCCTTCCGGCTCCACTTTGGAGCCTAGGGATTTTGTGTCTCACACTAACTCTCCACAATGGAAGCAATGACCCACACTACATGTTCCACTAAAAGCAGGTTTTGCAAATTGCTACTACTTGTACCCACCAAGAGGAGGAACAGAGGGCTTAGAACAAGAAGAAGCTACCACCACCTTTGTTAACCATTGCTTGTGAGCCTCTAGGGCAGAACCTTCTTTCCACCCTCTGTTTATTCCCCTTGTTTATCATCACCTTGTTTATTCCCAAAATTCTTATTCTTGTCTGAGGTACCAGCATACGTCTGTTGATATTGTTCCATGAGCAAGTGACTAAAGGCAATTTATTGTGCTGCCTCCTTACACTCCAGGTATGTCTTTGGATTAAACTTCAAAGTCTCATTGCAAGAAAGTGAACTTAAACCCTCCAGGAAATAATATTGAGCATTTTTGTCACTTATATTGGCAATTTTAATGCACTTTTGAGCAAATGCATTAACGTAATGCCATAAGGTCCCCTCACTGCTTTAACCACTACAGCTTGGCGCAAAGTCTTAGACCAAAATCATCTGACAAGGATTCCTTATGGATAGGAGACCTCATCTCGGTCCAACTTCTAGTTTGCCCTTTTTCAGCACACATCTGGTGCCACCAAGTTTTGGCATGATAAGTGAGAAAAGACTGCATGCACACAACTTTCATACGATCATCTATGTTTGCCGCTATGAAATAATTTTCCATATCGTACACCTAGTCTTCTAAAACTTGATAGTCCTGCATGCCTCTGAAATTGAGTGGTTTTAGAAGCTTGACCTTTGAAACTTGTGCAACCGGGGGCAGTTGCAAAACTTCATGGTCTTCAAAACTTGAAAAGGAGTTTGGTTGCTTAGGTTTAGTTGGTTTAGCTACCTCAACTTCTTTTTTCCTTTTTTTGTTCTCCTTCTTCAATTTGTGAATTTCCCTTTGCAAATTCTCAATCTCAACTTCCTAAGCCATACGCTGAAGTGCTGCAGCATCTAGCTCTTCCCCTTTTGACTCAGCTTTAGTCTCTTTCGCAACATCTCCAATAGGAGTTCTCCTCTCGATTCACCCATCTAAATGTTTCAGCATCATCAGTATGGTTCCTTTTCACCATCCTGCGAGCTATATACATGCCTCTATCAGTAACTAAACATGCATACAACATTCTTACTGAATGGCGCAATCCAACTAATCCTTCACAAGTCACTTCAGATCTACTAGAAAAGTCTCTACATATGCAACTTGAGTTAGAAAATCCAACAAAAGTTGAATAGGAATCGCTGAGACAGTTCCTCTGATACCAAATGTAGTGCACTTGAATTTGGAGCTAAAATCCAAGCCTGTTGCACTACGAAATGCGGGTCTGGTACAATCCCACAAGCACCAGCTCCCTGTATCCAACACCTACATGCAAAATGGTGTCAGACGGTATCTAGCACAATTTTGGCATACTGGTGGCTTAACGCAAGGAAGAGGGTACCACTAACTAGAGCAGCATGGAGCTTGGGCTTAGACCCAAACCGAACACAGAATAAAGAACGACATAACCCAACGGAAGCCAAACTAATGTCTCAAGTGGTCGGACATGCATTCTAACCATTATCCCTACTATACATTTAGAACGCCCCATATCCCCCCCCCCCCCCCCCCCCCCCCCCCAAGCCTCCCCTAGTACCAATAATTAGTCTCTGGGACAAGCTTAAAACTTACTAAATATGGAATGTCTCTATATTACAAATTTTGACACGGGATGAACACTATTGTGTTCAATACAATCTCTACATTCTGTAAATGTGCCAAATAAGCAAATCTAGACGCTTTCCACAAATAGTATTTAGGACCAAAATGAGACTAGCACAAAGGGCATGATAGTGAAGGTGTTTGGTAGACATGGTAAGCTATTATGTAGCGATATTAAAGGTTTCTTATCCACAACATGAGACTCCTCAAGCCAATTCCACCATCAAAGACCCGCATCACGCAAAACTATTGGAATAACCACTAAAGCCTCTACATCTAAAGTTCCCCTAGTAGCCAAGAACTTCTTCACATTGGCTAGCTAAACGAGACACTTGTCCACACCATTATTATTGGAAAAGGTTGGAATCTTGAGTTGATCTACTAAAGAAGGCTTACTTGGAGCGCTACCATGTCCAGCCTCAACTGCCTCAACACGCCCACACACATATGGTATCCATCATGCTATGCATCTTGTCTTGCATCTCTTGCTGATTTAAATTAAGGGCTCATAGCTCATGAATCAGAATGGTCTAAATCTCTGCAGCTCTATCTGCACCATCGTTGACACCACCATTGACAATAGGATTCCAGCGTTCAGCTTGGTCGGCCATCGCAACCAACTCCTCTGATACCAATGTTATGATTCGGTGCATAAAGACAGAGATTTAGCCACCCTAGACTATGCTACACCACCTCTTGAGGTTCCTCACCACCCAACCACCCCCGAGCTACCTCAAAAGCTCCACTACGCTGCCATTCCACCGTGAGCCCTAAGGTAGGATATGTCCCTTACCCTAACATGCCTTAATATCTCCCTTTGACTGACCACGTGGTCAAAGCTGGCACGTAACAAAGACTTATTACCATAGAGAAGCTTGGAATTAGCAATCTTGAAAGCCTGTGGGCATAAGTATCAAGCATACCAAGCTTTATGAGCCTTGAAGTTGCAACCTCTATTTATGTCAGCTTCTTGCCAACCTGATGCACTCTGCATTCATCACCAGCCATCTCAATCAGGATGGCGTAGTGACTCCACAAAGATGTGAGGACCAATTTCCAAGCCTGCTGGATTTCTAGGTTTCTTCCAGGTTTGCAATTCAACAACCTTAGATGTGCATGTCTAAAAGATGATTTGAGCTTGGAAATTCTAAATCTGGAATTCAGCTATGGCTATAGTTAAATTGCACTACAACCTATAGAAAGAATGCGTATAATGTAAATCGGTATGGTGTCCTTAAAAAATGAAAAACCACTTACTTGTGATAGGCTCCCATAATTGACCAGCCTAAAACTCATTCCATATAGTTAAAATGGATCTAGGAATTAGTTAAGTCCCCATCTCCATCCATATCCATTCGCTATACAAAGTCCATACTAGAAGCAGTTTACAGTGGTGAGCAGGGGAATGGTTTACCTTTGACTCTTTTAAAGGTTGGTATAGGAAGAGCCTTCGGGAAGAAACTTGTGATTGACAAGCCTCTTATGTTTGTGGGGATGCATAGTTACTTTTTGGACAAAATGAAGATCGCTTGAAGTATTATTAGGTGCCAGCTTTAACCACATGGTCAATGTCAGTCAAAAGGAGGCTCTTGGGTATAAGGGACTTAACCTACCCTGAGGCTTATAGTGGAGCAATGGCACAGTGGAGCTTTTGAGGTAACTCAAGGGTGGTTGGGTGGTGAGGAACCTCAAGAGGTGGCATAGCATAGTCTAGGGAAATTATATCTCTGTCTTTTTGTGCCAGATTATCAAAATCTTCAATCTCTTCAATCCCTGAATATTGACCTAACCTCCTAGTGATTCATCCTTGAGGTAAAGAGGTTCAGGAGAACCTGTTATAACACTCATGTTCTTTTAGTTCTAGACTAGAAAAGAAAATCACTATACCTAAAATTCTTCAATAACTTGGCTGAATTTAGAGTGCACTTCCACAATTGCATTATTGTCATCTATATGGAAGATTAGGGAGGTCATGACTAGCTCACTCTTTTCACTCCAGATGTATTCTAGCTCTTGAAGCAATGCTGATTTGCCACACTTCTTTGGGCTGGCCATTAGCATAATACAGGAGGGTTCCCTCCCCTAGAAATGCCATCATTGTCAACGTTTTGACTTCTATTTAACACATAAGAAGAATAACTTTGCTAAATAGTATGGAAAAGAGGATAGTGATGGAGAAAATTGTTACGAAGAATTATGAGAAATGAAAAGTGTTGCTTTGCTGTTTCTCTCTATTTGTCCTCTTGCCTTTAGCATTTATAGATAGATTAAAGAAACACATAGTCTTCAGAATAAAGTTTATTTTCTTGTGGTTCCAACCATTCCATATCAGGGTAGAAGATAACCTGAAGAGACAATAAGCTGTGAATTTGAAACAAGAAGAAGAAATTGAAGTGCCTTACTTCCACACTGATACTGATGGGGAAGAGTTCGATGACATATTTTAGCAATGGTTAGAATTGAACTCAAGCTGATATACTTCGTGACATCTGAAGTAATTCTTGGGCACACACACTCAAGAGTGATCTTCCTCATAAAGCTACAACAGGCTGGAGAGGGATTTGTGCTTTTGCAATTGCTGAGAATTCCATTGATGTTGTTGTCACATGTTGTATCAGCTTCAGAGAAGTTAAAGAAGGAAGCACTTGCTACAAGCAGTAACACTACAAATGTTTTCATCACTGCCATTCATCAATGCCTTAGATGCTGTATATGGTTCTTATATAGTGGAGATCTGTTTGATGAACACTATGAATGAAAGTATCTGATCCCACAACCAACAAACAACAAGTTCTAATATTGACTGGCAAACAGACCGTGGTGTCAAACACGGCATGGTTGCCAGTCAGCACGGCAGCATAGTCAGCACGGCATGCTTGCCAGTCAAGATTAAAACTTGTAGTTGCATGACTTTGACCACAGACCATGACTCTCGTATGTGACTTTTGTTGACTTTATTTGAAAAATATACTCTTTGAGCATGGCAGTTGATAAAACCACGTCTTTCTGGGGTGATGCCGCATTCAAGATTGAAATTCCGGTGATGTTCAAATTTCTAGTTTCACAAGAAGAAAATGATTTCTCACTGGGGCATCGTACTTCTCTTCACACTTGGCATGAATCTGTCGTCTGAGGTATGATCACATGATTCTGAAATGAAACTCTTAAGGTTTTCTTTCTTTTGTATAAGATCATGGACATGGAAATTCTACTGGAGTTCAAGCAAGGCATGTTGCAAAGCAATTCTACCTTTTCTAACTGGCATGAAGGAAGCAAGGATGGGATTTGCAGCTGGAGAGGCATTAGTTGCAATTCTAAACGCCAAGTAGTGTCCATACATCTATCCTCTGTGGATCTTGATGAAGCCTTGGTGGGAACTCTCACGCCAAGGCTTGGGCAGCTTTCATATCTTTCAGAGCTCGATCTATCGTTTAACAAAATAACGGGGCAAATTCCTACCACCCTCGGAAATTGCTCCTCACTCACAGAGCTCAACTTGAGAGGGAACCAATTGACTGGCCATATTCCAGCAACATTAGGGCAGCTCCAGAATCTCACTGAGCTCTGGCTATCTGATATTTCTTGAGCGGGTCTATTCCATCGAGTGTTGGGAACTGCTCCAAGCTGCGGTTCCTCAGTCTGGAAAACAACACCTTAACGGGCTCTATATCTCCATCGCTGGGTAAGCTCAAGAAATTGGAAAGTTTATCACTTTTTACAAACAATTTGGAGGGGCTTATACCAATCACTCTTGGAAACCTTTCGCACCTCACATTTCTAGACATGTCTGACAACCTTCTATATGGCCCATTACCTGGCTCTTTTGCTGGTCTTCGTAGGCTAAAGTGGTTGGGACTATCGCGAAACTATTTTCTCAATGGATCGATTCCTTCGGATGTTATGGTGGGCATGCCATCTCTAACGCACCTAGAGCTCCATTACAACAACTTTACAGGAAACATTCCCATGTTTAATGCGTCTTCTCCTGTTGTACTACTTCGCTTGGACGTTAACAGCCTGACAGGAAGCATTCCGCATTCAATCACAGAGATCAAGGCTCTCCAGCAATTGCACCTCAACAAAAACTATCTAGATGGAAGCATTCCAAAAGGCATTAGCCAGCTGGATCGTCTTGAGATACTTGACTTGAGTGACAACTATCTCAGAAATGAAGTTCCTCCACTCGACAAATGCACCAATCTTGGCTATCTCGACCTCCACGGAAACTTGATACGGAGCAAAATGCCAACGTTTGGTGCATGCACTAACCTTGTTTACTTGGATCTCTCAACGAACGAGTTCCAGGGAGAGATTAGCTCAAGGCTAGGGAATTGCTCCCAGCTCAAGGTTGTCAACTTTGCGCAGAACAATTTCACGGGTGAGGTGCTGCTTGACTTGAGTAACTTGACAAGCTTGGTCTTCTTTGTCATTTCCAACAACACGTTGAGCGGCACAATTCCAGCAAAAAGCTTGAATTCCACTTATCTCAGAGTCATGGACTATAGTAGGAACCATTTCACAGGCGAGATCCCTCAAGAAACTTGCAGCTGGTCAGGAATTATGATATTGTCTTTTGCATACAACAAGCTGTTTGGCCAGATTCCAGATTGCACCACCAATCTCATTTGGCTCCAAATTCTAGATCTGTCAAACAATAAACTCACAGGGCAGCTGCCACGCGCGCTTTGGAAGTTTCAAGGTTTCAAGGGCAACACGAGTGGGGATTTGAATCTTGGCATTTACACAGGGGTAGAGTTGAGCCTGGTCATCATAGTCAACGACGCAAGGATACAGTTTGATCGGACAACGATCGTTGTTGCAAACAACATGACTTCATTGGACATCTCAAGCAACTCTCTCGAGGGTGTCATCCCAGAAGAAATTGGGCAACTGGTTGGACTAATGCATCTTAACCTCTCGCACAACCAGTTCACCGGTGCCATACCTCTCAACCTTTCCAGCTTGAAAAAGCTTCAGTCGCTTGACTTATCCTGGAACATGCTCCAAGGCAGGATCCCAAACGAGTTTGGGGAGTTGCCTTTGTCAGCCTTTAATGTTTCATTCAACAACTTAAGCGGATTGGTCCCAACTGCATACAATTTAAACACTCGGTTTCCACTTGCATTCCAAGGCAATAAGAACCTTTGTGGGTTTCCATTGTCTCCTTGTGGCTATGCAACAAAGGATCAAGAGCACCCTGCAAGTCACAAAAGTTGGGAGAAGGACTTCCTCTTCCGTGAGGCTTCAGTGTGGGCATTTGGCTGCGGTGTGTTTATTGGCTTTTGGGTCACATTTTTAGGCATCACGTTCTGGGACAGCCTTCAAAGTTGGAGGTATAAGCTTCGGGCAAAGGAACATGAGGACGCATCTATTGGCCTCAGCATACCTTCATTTCTTCCTCGTCTTGGCAGTTCTTAAGAAATGCTAACTTGTTAATCCAGAACTCAAATGAAAAAGCTGATGAGCAATTGACCTCCATGAGTCTAGGTCGTGGTGGATTCAGATGCTTTACTCTGATCAAAGTTTAGGCAATGGAAGAACATGACAATACAATAGCAAACCCAGAAATAGGCAAATGAACAGTGGATACAGAACTTTCCATACTTTAATTTGAAAAGTCTAGGCTCTTCGGATCAAACCAACCAATGACCGACTACATGAGTGTCAGAATACCGTCCTTGACCCGGTCATCCATCACTTTAAATTTCAAGCACATGTGACACAATGGCAAACAGATTTCTAGTGTTCCTTGGTCATGGTATTCCAGCATATAGTGGTGGTCAATGGAAGAATACATGACAAATAAAGATGACAGAAGTTAGTCACTCAGAAATGTTGGTCAAGGTGGATACAGAACTTTCGATATTTTACTTTGATCAAAGTCTAAGCTCTTCAAATACTGGTCAATCAATGAATAGCCAACCAACCAATGACCGGCTTTAACATGAGTATAAGAATACCGTCCTTGACCCGGTGATACATCACCTTAAATTTCAAGCTTGTCAAGGAAACATGTGATACAATGGCAAACAGATTTCTTGTGTTCCTTGGTCATGGTATTCCAGCAATTGCGTTCATCTTTTGGGGACTCTTGCTTTTTCTCACGAATGCAGCATCTCGTTTTCGAGGCCATGAAAAACCTGGGCGACTCTCCCTCATTACAAAGCCAGCTGAGTTTTACATTCTCTTCCTTGGGAGTGCAGGAGTCATCACTTTCCACTGCATTCTTCAGCCAACACGAAGCTATCCTGACCTGGAGCACATCTCCATGGCTATTCCGTTCATGATCTATGCACTCTGTTTACGTTCCAAGCTACACTTGCCAAGTGCTTTTGTAAGTCTCATGGAAGCAGCAGCGTTCGCCCAAGAACTCTTCCTCTTTCATTGGCATTCCACGGATCATGTCGGCGTGGAAGGACATAATCATATGCTTCTACAGCTCATTGTGACTGCCTGTATGTTCTCAAGCCTCGTGGAAGTGTTTGTGCCACAGAATCACAATGCCATGATGATCAAGTTTTGGAAGTCAATTTGTATCATCTTCCATGGCATTTGGCTGCTTCAGCTCTCATTACTTCTTGTGTTCCCAGCAACGTTCCTGCCTCTGGGTTGCCAAGTGTTTGTTCGTCACCACCAAAAGATCGAGTGTGGCAGTGAAAACCTTGTCAACCAGTCCAAAGCTATGGGAACATTGCTTTTCAGTTGGTACCTCTCTTTGTTGATGGTAGGAAGTGCAATATCCTATGCTGTTATTGAGAGAAAAACTCTATACAATATTAGTATATGGAATGAACAGGATGAAGAGCTACCATAACTTCCCTATAGTGAATAATTATAAAATGGAATTTAACCCTTGAACAAGGGCACCAGAACAGAATCTAAGTTTTAGAGCTATGGTACAGTGAACAAAAGGATGAAGTTAAACTCTTAAGCATACAACAAAAAAATGAAGGAACATGAACATGGAGCAATATCATAATAGTTTTAGAGCATTTAGAATTCCAACTCTAAAATCAACATGCAAAACAAAGCTAAATGATTTTAGCATATTTATAGCAAAATACACCAACTAACATGGTAGAGTTTAGGCTTAGATATAAGCAAGATTCAAAACAAAAGATAGCACACCTAATGGGGAGATAAATAATATCTCAAGTAGTTCATACCTCAACCTACCCATTATCCCCATTATATTTGGAATTGCCCATATCCCCTACCCCATTATAAATGAATTAAAGAAAAGTTTATTAAAATTGAGGATTATTATAGAATATATATGGGTATCATAGATATATTCCCATTTTACTTAAAGTGAAAAATAATTAACGTCATTCTTTTAATTTAAAACATTTTTCTAAATTTAAAATGTATGATCAAGATGACATCTTTGAAAGCTAGCATTTTATATTTAATTTTATATAGCTTGCTGTAGTTATAAACTTCTAAAGTTAAGAAGTTCCTTATTGAACAATTTCTGAAAAATATTTATTGTGCATATTGAAATTTTTCATGTATAATAATACTTATTTAGTTTTATATTATTAATTAATATAAATATTCTATAAAATATAAGTAAAAAATTTTTTTTTGATAATGCCATATATTAATATTAACATAGTGGAATTTTGATAGCCATAAAATTGATTTCAATTTGAACCACTTGCTCCTGTATATAAGCTAGGGTTTTGAGATTACACATTTTTGTATTCCATTTCCATATTTAATGCACTCATATTAATTGAAGTGAAGGGTAATTCTAATTTTCCTTAAGGAGTGTTTGGTTTAGATTTAGCTTTTGCATTATCTAGATCTCTCTTATTTATGTAGCTTTTCAATTTCTTTTTTTCTTTTTTTCTTTTTATTTTTTTTGCTTCTTTCCATTCATCTTTATGGCAAAATAGTAGCTTCCTCCTTCTTTGACTCTAGAATAACAATTGGTGCAATTTCTCAATGCTATGGAATTGCAATTAAACAATCAAACTCAATTGATAGTGGCATTCACGGCATGTGGTGTATCTTTTACTATTGTTGCCCATCATTGAGTTCAGTTGGAGTTCTTTTGTGGGAATTTTGGGGATAATGTATATCATTAGTTTGATCATTTTACAATGATTACCACCTATTATTTTTGGGATGATATCTAGTGTCTATACAATTTTCCCACATATTTTAAAAAGATAGCTGTAAGCTCCTGGGTTTGGACTTCCCGGGAGGTCACCCAACCCAGTACTATTCAAACCCAAGGATGCTTAACCCTAAGTATCCCAAGACCCTTAACCGATTGGAAAACGGGGTGCACTCTTATTCATGGGCCTTTTCCCTCTATATTTGAACCCCTATGGACCGTCTCTCGAGTCATTCCCTTTGGTTGCTTACAATCCACCATGCTTCCCTGCAAGTTCACGCCCTTGTGAATGGAAGCTGAGAGCTGCAGCTCTCCTGAGAGCCCCGCTCTCTTAACACCCTACCCCCAACGGGAGCAAACTGGACCAGCTAGATGTCAATCAACATGTGGTGTGATTCCCCTAGCCAACCAACAAAGTCGGACCCAAGACCGCTCTGATACCAAATGTAAGCTCCTGGGTTTGGACTTCCCGGGAGGTCACCCAACCCAGTACTATTCAAACCCAAGGACGCTTAACCCCAAGTACCTTAACCGATTGGAAAAGGGGGTGCACTCTTATTCATGGGCTCTTTCCCTCTATATTTGAACCCCTATAGATCGTCTCTTGAGTCGTTCTCTTTGGTTGCTTACAATAGCATTACAATGGTACAATGGTTTGAGCACAATCAAACAATTATTTAGACATATTGACAAGCCTTATAAGAATTGCATTATCTCTATTAGGGGTCATTTTTGTCAACGATGCAATTTTACTTCTAAATCCTCCTACTTTGTATATAGCCAATTATGTCGGAGCGGAATAAATTGGGAATGTTGTGGCCAATGTTTCAGCAATGTCTTATGGGACTCATATATGCACTAGCTCCAATCACCTTAGACAACATTCTTCGACTAGCACAACATTATGGAACATCACTTCTTTCACTTATTGTTGCATATGCTTTAATGCCACTTTTTGTGGGAGATGACCTTGTTCTGATAGAAGTTGATGCTATTGTTGCTTGTGTTCAAAGACAAGGGCAAGGACGTAGTTATGACCATAATGTTTGCTGCTAGACATGTGATAAGGTTGGTCACACATATTTGTGTTGTTAACATTTTTTGATTAGCATCCTCTATTTCCTAAGTGGAAGCCTTGGTATTAATAATATCCTATTGGTGCTATGGTTTTGATGTAGAGATTCTTTTGAGAAATGAGAAGTTGCGCAAGTATTCAAGGATGCTTGCATGAATAAGTTATTGACCCCTTCATCTTTCTTTTGAGAGTACCATCAATGGGTTCACTTGGCACCAGTTCATCTAGTTTATGGAGGTATAAGGGTTTAGGGTTTCCGGTTTAGGGTTTAGGGTTAGGGTTTATTAGGGTTTAGGTTTAGGGTTTAGGGTCATCTAAGTCATCTAAGCATTCCATAATCTTTTTGGCCGTGAGAGGCACTGGATTAGGAATGAATGAGAGCCCAAGAGCAAGGAGGCGCTTTTCAGCGGCACTCAACATGCGAGAAGACAAATTGTGAACAGCACCAATCTCCACTCTATTTTCTAGCTGGGAAACTTTTTGATTGCCGGCAAAATGAAGTAAAGCTTCATGCGGGGCAATCAAAGGTAGCCAGAAACTTTTGCCTTGCCTTTTCTGTCCACAGGCACTGCCGTAACTGGAGAGTGCGGGCGTTGCTGTGGAGGCGAGTTTCTTCCCAAGCCATAGCGTTGGGTTCGTTCGTGGAGTGGGGTGTTGTTGTGGTGCTGTGAGGGCTGCATCTCTTGTCCTCTGGGAGGTGAAGGTGGTTTCTGGTTCTGAGTTGGCTGGCGTTGTTGGGCTGCTGGAGGAGGTCGTGGTGTAGTCTGGCGCCCTCGGCCGCTTGGCCAGTTCGGTTGGGACCGTGGGGGTCGACCGTTTCCTCGAGACTGGCGTTGGCCACCTCTGCCAGTCATGGCTGGCTGGGAACCAAGCACGGTTGGAGATTGCCGGTGCAAGGGACCCCTTGAAGAAAAACCCGGGGCATCGGAATGGGTGGGAGGAGTCCCAGTAACCACATTCCGCCCCTGCTCGTTTCCCTGCCATCCATGGGTAACGTCACGTTCACCACTGGGGAGAGAAACCTTGCGTGTCTTTGAAGAGCCTGCTTCACGTATGTGGAGTGAGGTATCCGTCCTTTGCTGTCGTTTGCCTTGTGATCTGGTGCCTCTGCCAGCATCTTCGTGGTGTTGTCTCGGAATTCCACGCTCCCTCTCCTTCCACATCTTGTCAAAGCAGCTCTGGACAAGCATCTTAACAGTGTCTTCCTTGGGCAGTGTC